AATATTAGCCCACGTAACTAGTCTTTGATATCTGCGTCGTGGCGTAGTGCTTCTCGAAGAGTCACGACGCATACTTGTCTCTACTCGAAAAGTTCGCGGACTGATTTTATTTAGCGCTATTGCATTGATATTCGTACCTATGCATAGTTCATGCAGTTCTTTATCTATGGATATGATAAGTTCTGCTGTATGAAACATATATTTTAGATCACTGTCTATACACATGGAAGACTTAAGGAAAGTTGAAGAGTGACTATCGTCCAAAATTTATGAATATATGGTGGTAGTTTATAGTAATAATGCTCTATTACATACTACAATATTTGAATGAATTCATCATTTCAAGCGCGAATAAAGACCTATTAATGATTGTCATATATATATGGTCAACACATCATTGTTATTGTGTCAGAGAATGTGATCTTCTCATGAATTGGCTTTAATCATAGTTAACGTCTTCGATCACCAGACTGCCAATAGCTTTAATAGTTATGCTATTTACATCTAAAATTGCTATCAAAGCATGATAAACCCATTTTCAAATATAATAATCTCATTCAGAAGCTATAATGAGTGGTGGAGAATTGAACGATAGCCAATTTTTGTGTTTTTCTTTGTCAGTATATAGAGAGTGGTCTAAAATATATTTCTATATTTTCATATATATGTTTCATCCAGCATAACTTATCATATCTATAGATAAAGGACTGTATGAATTAAGTATAGGTAAAAATACTAATGCAACAGCGGTTCTTGTTATTTTGAAATAAAATTAGTCTGAGAACTTTTGCGAATGCATGATGTAAATATGAATATTTAGCTTGCTCGTATTGGTATGTTAAAAAATCCTCAATCACGTTGGTTTGATCGATCGAATGTTTATATTGTCACACGAAATGGTTTTATTGTAGCCAATGATGAAGTAACTCTTTGAAATTTTACATAAAGAATCATTTTAAATAAATTTTATATTTAGCATTCAGCTTATGAAGGTATTGTTCCAACACAAATTGGTGATCATATACAAAATCATATTGATTCACTTGAAAAGATAAATTCATGGCCAATACTATCTGATCCTAATAATAAAATAATTGTTCAAGAACTTTTATTTATTTATGATTCACATGTATTTAATGTTATTAATCGTGCAATTACTTTATTTCATCAATCAGCAGATAATATTGAAATTATAGTTATTAATGTAAATCAATGTACAAAAGAAGATATTAAACAATATATTCATATTCATCCAGATACATTTTTTCAATTATGTCTTCAATTAGCTTATTTTAAATTACATGGAAATAAACCTGCATCAACATATGAAACAGCATCAACACGACGTTTTTATCGTGGAAGAACTGAAACAGTACGAACTTGTACACCAGAAGTAGTTGCATGGTGTCGTGCAATGACAAATTTAAATAATCAATTAACAGTAAAAATTTATTTTGTTTTTCTTTATGATATTTGTAAATTAATTGAAACATATAGGAAATTGAAAAAAGAAAATTATTTCTTATTGCTGCTAATCGTCATCAAGAATTAATGTTTGAAGCATCAGAAAATCAAGGTTGTGATCGACATTTATTTGGATTAAGTATGATAGCATATATAACAGGAAAATCATTTGAACTTGCAAATGATTCATCATGGATAAAAAGGTTTTTGAAGATAAAATTTATTAATTTTTAAATTGTTTTAATTTTTAGTGGTGGTAATGGTAATTTTATTTTATCTACAAGTTGTATTGGTTTTACTATAACAGTAGGTGGAACAGCACCAATGTGTTTAAATGGTTATGGAGTTTTTTATCGGCTTGGTAGTGATGCGTAATTAAAAATAAATATGATCATAATGATTTATTTATTTATTTATTTATTTATTTATTTATTTATTTATTATAGAATAACATTTACTGTTACTGCTTATCGAAATTGTTCGGATACGAATGCACAAGCATTTGCTGATTCGATTGAACGTACTTTAATTGAAATTAAAACATCATTTATACAATCAAATTTGTAAATAAAGATTCTTTTTTTTATTGGAATAATGAGACTAATGAATAATATATATTTTTTTTTGATTTGTTTATTTAAAAAAAAGATTTTTGAAGTTCAAAGACTTTTAATGAATTTCCTGAAGAAGTGCAACATTTACACTTTTGATGTTCTTTTTAATAGATCGTTTATTTTTATTAAATTTATATAAATATCATGAATCTTTATGAACCCTATAAATATGTATCTAGCGACGTAAGTAGAAATCGTTGAATCCAAGTCTAAAAACGTTCTATTAACCATTAGAAAATTCCATTGAGATTATCAAAGTAGAGCTCGATCGGGTCCAGATTCGAGAATATTGAATCCAATAGACTGTAGACGTATGCCGATACATTAACAGGTGGTGGCGTTTAAAGTTTTCTTAGTCCCTGAAATTTTAAAATGGCAAATAATGGTAGAGAACGTGATGATAAGAAACTAGACAAGAACATCTCTGAAAATTGAATCTGAATGTCGAAAGTTTTCGTACAACTAATGTTTATTTTTATACCACGGTGGCAACTCAGTCGATCGCCATATATCTCTGAATATATCTAAGAGAGAAACAAAATTTAAAAAATTTTTTCCAATCTGATCTTACTTTATTTTCGATCGTACTGTCTATGGTACCATCAATTTCACTGTTTGAACTATACAGTGCTTCAAACAGTTTTTTACAAATTCGAGAGAAGAATGTTTCACAAAACTTCTTAGAAAAGACTCTATGTGAAGTTTTTGATTGTTTCATTATAATGATAGGATGTGAGTATGGATTATAAATCAAATATTTGTATATATATTAGAAATATAGTGCAAGCATTAGTTCTTTTTTTTCGTATTCTCATATACTGTCTTTGTCCGTATGAGCTACTCTCAGTCTCGACAGTATCTTGTTTGTTTGAGCAATGCCATTAGCTACTTCACTGCTGGACTCTTGTCCAACTAAAGCAACGAGTTGTTGCGAACAAACCAAAAACGAGAAAAAAGAAGCAAAGTATTTATACGAGTCTCAAACAACACAACTAATAAAAACAACGTGGAAGAATAAAATATGTCTTCTTATTGTAATTTACGTATGAAACAGCTACTCGAAAAGAAAAAGAGAAAGCAATATATGGAAATTTCGTGTATGATACTTAATTTAAAAAAAAGTGTGTCAATGCAGTCTCTTGAAGGTCGGTATGTGCCACTCATATGACTTCTTTAGCTTCAATACACTAATAAAAAAAATTTAAAATGAAAAATCTCTAAAAGACAATACTGCCTTTCTACATTTCGAATAGAAATTTTGTTTTAACTGACGCTCTTTTGTGGAATTCACATATATTTTCGAAGAAAATTAGTGAGTGTAAGTTTTAAGTTCAAATTGTTGCGGCTTTCCCCTCCCCTCCCCTCCCCTTACAGACACATAGTAACATAAGCTCCCATTACAGACCTTAGTAATTGAGAATAACAGGCGTCAGACTTTCTAGTTTTTTTGAAAAATTGATCAAGTTGTAATTTTGAAAGATAATCAACATCATTGTTTGAGAGCTGATTAATATATATAATAGTGCGTAAGATCTTCTGTAGATATTATGGATATATAAAACAAATTTATTTGCCAATTAATTCAGTGATTATAATAATAAGAGTGTTGAGTTACGAAAAACGATTTAAAATAAAAAACAAATGAAAGATAATCAGCGAATAGCAACAATGCAAAAGAAAAGTAGGGCGCTCTCAAACAAAAACAAATTTTCTGTTTTAAATGTAGACATAAATAACAAAATCTCGTTCTTGTCTTTGACTATCAATGAAAACAACTACAGTATACACGAAATTTTTCAGTTTACATATAATGCATTAGAATATTAAGGTTTAAGAATATATGTGAGTTCCACATTTCAACTTGAAACGAGCTGCATTAACAAGCTTTTTTTTGATTTATTTTCTTGCTACTCGTTTGGTATTTATTTTATTTCGTTTTTATAATTAGCCTAACCATTGATTTAATGAATAACTCGGCCTTTTGTACACATTCGTTATATTTACAGCAGATCTTAAGGATTTAGTGTGTGGGTGTGAACTAAATCAACAACAGTACCAACACCTACACCCACATCTCTTGATATATGTAGTGTATCAAATTTACTACTGCTTTTAACGAAACACCATCTCAGGATCTATCAAATGAGATTTTTATAGAGAAATATTGAAATTAATTCACTATCGAGAGATTGAGTCGACAAGAAGCATGCACTCTAAGCTAGATCATTAGATTGATGTCTGTGTCGATCAACTGATTGCCGTAGAATGTACGTTTGATGAACTGTTCATAGTAATACGATATGTGATTATAGCAGAACGACATAGAATATCAATGCATCAGCAAGACGAAATATCTAATAGAAACCGAGATGAAAGTGATTGTTGATGTTCAATGAAATTAAATCGCACAAACTTCGTCTAAATCGACGTCGATCGATGTTTTCATTTCAAATTGTTTCACAAAATCATCGGCTTTGCTCAAATATTTTGTTCTTGAGTCAAAATTCGCATTTTTGGACATCGATATATGTCTGAAGCGTTACAGCAAAAACAGAAAATTGCTTTGATCAAATCAATTAATATTGATTTTTATAAAACAAAATCAATTATTATACATTTTTCAGTGGGAGAAAACCGATCACTCATACCCACCCGCCCACACACACGGCCTCAAGGACATATCCTTTGTTTCTAACTACGAAATGAAAAGAATTGAGAAGTTGACTTTGTAAAGAGAAAAATGGTTGATAAAAGAATCCGACTGGGATCAGATCGAGTCACAAAAATTTGACTCTTGTTGGATATTTGTACTGAATATGTTTAGAAAAAAAAAGATGTGGTTGTAACAAAACTTTTTATTATCAAAGAGAAAAAAAATGAGTTCTAATCACAAATAAAGAACATAATGTCGAATAGTTTAGTTCACTCTATCATCGATTGAATCGTTATTTGTTCATGGAACATTTTATTATCAAACGATAATAATTTCTTTCGCATAAAAGAAATTGGTTGAACTAAATAAATAAATAAAATGATGAACATTATTGGTGTCATAAATGGAAAAATTATAAAAAATAATCGAATTGGTTGATAGTTAGCAATGATAAAAGCAGATATTGGATGTATTTCTTCATTCACAGTCATTGCAAATGGGATGTAGTTATTTCCAAATAACCATCTTGTTATACGATAATACATTCGAAAAGGACCTCCTATTTGATGAAGAAAGTCATGTGGTGCGTGTAAACTAAAACAAAAAAAAACCAACAAATTATATAGTTATATCAAATATGAACATATATAGTATTTACTAGTCAACATAAACTGATGTTGATAGATTGTTTACAGTTAAGTAACCACTTAATGTAATAGGAGAATAAAAACCAATACGTATAGAGTATACAATTTTTTCAAGACCTATTGTACGACCAGCCATAATTAATTGATGTTCAAGTGTTACTTCTGAAGCACATATGATTTTTATTTTATTTTCACCCTTGGCAATGGCAACTATAAAATGTGAATCGGTTAAACTAACTGTATGTCCTTCGATTGTTGTAAATGTATAGAAATAAGCTATATTTAAATTATTTTTTTGAAATTAATTTAAATTTGAAGTTTATACAAACCTGGAATAGTCGGTCCAGCATGCGGTATAACAATTATTTCATCTTCGATCAAACGTTTACCATCATTGCTTATTGTCCACACTCGATCTCCTGTTTTTAAATTACCGATTTGACGTCGTCCTCCTTCTACTAGATTGATATAATCTTCACCGAAATAGCATACTATATATAGGAGAAAATAGTATTCTTCTTTAGAAATCAATAAAAAAAAAAGAGACAAAGCAAGAACTTTTTAACTCTATATCGTATATGTTGAAGAACTTTTCTTGAACTCTACATAATAACTAGTTATTCTTGTTTTTTAAATTCTACTGTATTGCTATATTGAATGGATATAATTAGAAAATACAAAAAAAAAGTGATTTGTCTCTTACCTGGTGTAAAGCCATCGACACATTAGAAGACCCGGGGTCTTCTATTCTGTCTTATCATTCATAAGTTAAAAGGGGGGGTCTTCTATTATGTCCCTAAAAAAAGTCATATTTTTGGTAGTTCCGTCAACAAATCTTAGTTTCACTTGATTTTTGTCCAATATATCGTTAGTAAATGAGTTTGCTTCACTTATTTCACATGTGTAGAATAAGAAAGAAACAGATATCATCCTGTGAAAAAGAGGAGACCATCGTTGGTAAGAAGTGTTCTTAGAACAGTACAGTCAACGTAGCCTAGCATCTTGGTACGATATCCCATACCATTCTTTTTTCTCTAGGCTAAGACCTATCATTGGCAACAGTTTGCCTTCTCAATAACTAAATAAATGTAAAAAAGAAAATTAATTTTTTTTATCAAACTCATTTTATTCAGTTGCTTATGTGGAAATTTGATTAGTATATATGGAATCTATTCACAGTGAATTCTGCTACTAGCAGAGTTATTAATCTCAAGCTAACTTCAATGAATACGATTGTCTTATGAAGAAACCATCTATGAAAAATCAGCAGTTGAATACAGACAGTGTGTTTTCTTTTGCGTCAGTTTCAAAAAATGCCATTGGATCTTATTGAAAAAAGAAATGCGTTCTCAAACTCAAAAGAAGTACTCACATATCAAATCTTGACGTATATACAGTCTACGCAAAAAACTCTGGGACACTCAAGAATGGCTCCTCGAAATTTCATCTTTCATTTGAAATAAACTTTATATATATTTTTTAAGTATAGTTACTGGTTAAACTTTCGTACTTTACTGTGCAGATGCAAAACTTCTAGTTTTAATATTATATGAAACTTTAACCAGTAACTATACTTAAAATATATATAAAGTTTGTTTCAAATGAAAGATAAAATTTTGCAGAGTCATTCTTGAGTGTTCCAGAATTTTTTGCGTAGACTGCACATGAAGTTATGTTTTCTTCAATTATGAAACACTGTTTTGTTGTGAAAACGTTTCTGATTTTCTAGAAGAAAGTCAAAGATAAAGAGACCTTTTAATTAATACAAAGTGGCATTTTACCTAATCTGTTATTAGTCTACAAAGATCCCTTCATGTGTTACATGCACGAACGGGCACTACGTTCATTAGATCCTATGACTATGAAAGCGTGTTTTTCGTGTATAGAGCCTGAAGAATGTTTTCAAAGTAAGCTGCAAAGAAGTGCTAAAATGACTCCATGATATGTTTTTACAAAGAAACGCAATCTTCAATAGATAGTGGTTTCCTATTAACTGCTTCTCTAGATTTTACTCATTCGAGTCTGATACTTCGTTATGAGGGAGGAAGCAAAATATTGTTCGTACCGAATTTCGATATCATTCTGGGCTTAAATACTAAACAAGTCAATAAACTCCAGAAACTATTTCAAAATGTCGATTTTTTAAGGGCGGGGGGGTCTTCTAATATGTCTTTTGCGTCATTTATTCAAGGGGGGTCTTCTAATATAGGGGGGTCTTCTAATGTGTCGATGGCTTTAGTAGCTGCAGTCGTAGTTTCCGTTGTGGTTGTTGCTATAATTAAAGCACTGATATATATATATATATAATAGTGGTCAAAATTATCAGAACAGACAATTTTTTAGCGTTTTCGCTTTATATGTCTTTATTTTGTTCCAATTGATAAGAGCTTATATGTGTAGATATATGCACTCAATTGTGCTCTATCGGAAACTGAAGTTAGATTTTCTCATTTCCTATGTTAGACCAAAGAGAATGCATTTTTATAAAAAATTCGAATTTTTTTCTCAGTGAATTTTAATTAAGTCTGAAAAGGTCGTGTTCACAAAAAAAAATAAACACTTACATGTTGTTGTAGCTAAAAAAAATGAAATTAAAATTAAAAAAGATTCTATCGAAATCAACTCACTTGCTGATGTTGTAGCTTAATAACAAAAAACAAAAACGAACATCAATACTATAGTTTAAATAGAAAATTAAGAACTTACTACTTGTTGTTGTAGCTAAAAACAAAAGAAAAGACAAGATAATTAATCTGATATTCCATCTATTCTATGATTTATTAGAGCAAAGAACATTTCGTTTTGTATAAAAAGAGAATGTTCTAGATATAAAATAATTATTCATATGATTTGATTAGTTTGATTATCAAGGCTTCTTCTTCTTATATAATTTATTCTAAAGTGCATATTTCATACTTCTATTCTAACTTTTATATCTACGATCAATTTAAATTATAAGAATACTTTCAATCTATTAGTTGAAGCAATTCAATTTCTTTTATTTTCAATGTATTAAACTTGTTTTAGGAAAATAATTCGTAATTTCTTACTTGTGCTTGATAGGTCATTTTTATATAATACGCCAACAAGAATTGCAGCGATAGATGCAGCAATAATAATACAAAACAGTATAATTAAAAATAGTATAATACATCGAAATCGATAACGATCGCTTTTGGAACGTCTATAAAAAAAAAATTCAAAAGTTATGTGATATGATAGACTGACAGGTAAAAAAAACATGATTCACTTTGTAGCTGGTTTTCGTTTGTGAGTATGTTCCATTTCAGGAATCGTTGGAACTAACTATTATTTGAAAATAAAAATAAAAATATTGATTTAGTTCAATAAAAAACAAAAAAAAAGAAAAACTCTTATCATTTCTTTTATTAGAAACTCTTACAGAGATTAAAATATTGAATATATTCAACTGTTTACAGATATGAAGAGACAATACAATTATATCAAAATTTTTCTTTCTTACGTGAGAACGTGATTGATGGCTTTGTTCAATGTTAATAACAGTGGAAGATTGTGTTACAGTCCTAGTCGATTTTTGTGGTATAATTGAGGAAGCCATTCGATCTTTAATTCGAATAGATGAAAAATATTTACACAAGAGAAAAAAAAATTATAAAAAAAATCAAAGCTTGTTTTGATCCTACTAAGTCAAGGCTAGTGCCATCCTGTAAAAGTTCACTATTTTTACCATTATTATTAGTTGATGGTTGAATATAATTTTCATTGTCAATAACATTAGAAGATAATAGTATATTTCTAGCCGATTTTTGTGGTATAACTGAAGGAGGCACTCGACCTTTAGAATATTTAACACTTAGAATAGATGAAAACTATTTATATAAGCAAATATATATATATATATATATATATATAAAATCAAAGTTTGTTTCGATCTTACAGCGAAAAGGACATTGCCATCTTGTAAAATTTCACAATTTTTATCATTGATATTAGATGATGGTTGAATATGATTTTTGCGAATAACAGGCATGGTTCATCAATATGACTGTGAACAAATCAAAGACGAGAAACAAAGAAGTAAAGTATTCATACGAGTCTCAAACAATACAACAAATAAAAACGATGGTGAAGAATAAAATATGTCTTCTTATTGTAATTTACGTATGAAACTGCTACTCGAAAAGAAAAAGAGAAAGCAATATATGGAAATTTCGTGTATGATACTTAATTTTAAAAAAACTGTGTTGATGCAGTCTCTTCGAGATTGGTATGTGCCACTCACATGACTTCTTTGGCTTTAATACGCTAATAGAAAAAATTTAAAATGAAAAATCTCTAAAAGACAATACTGCCTTTCTACATTTCGAATAGAAATTTTGTTTTAACTGGCATTCTTTTTTTTTTGATTGATCTTCTTGCTATTCGCTTGGTATTTATTTTAT